CAGTTTCCAACACCACTGAAGCATGGAGATCAATGACACAAGTAACACCGAGAGGAAACTGTATGAACTAAGAGAAAAAAAAAACAGAGAGACAAAAAGCTGGTAGAAAGAGAAAAAGCCGCCAGGGGACAACGCAACACGTCACCAGCCGAGAGTCCCTCCCCCCTCCCTACTATCTCCCTGCGTCAACGGCTGTAATCAACAAAGAACAAATTAAATTACAAGAATCAAGCAAGCAGTCATACCAGCAAGACGAGGAAGTCACTAGTTAGAAACACGAGAGAGGAGCGTCAGACAAAATCCTTTCCAGGTACAGAACGCCCCCTGGTAGGGTATTTATACAGCACAAGTTGTCACCCAACTACAAAGGGAGAAATCTTATTTACGAATTCAAAAATATATAGATCGGAAAAGTATCCAAAATAAAAATGACACAAAACTACTACTCTAGAATCACACTGACAATAAATGGCAAACCTAGAACTATTCAATTTTTTCCAAGCATTGTAAAAATATTCCAGAACAAAACCAAGTGGAAAAGCTTGTTCGACGCCGATAGACAGTCAGCAAGACCGTCGGTAAAATTCGATTAAAATTGAATACACCAATGCACAATCTCCCATGAGTCACTTTGAAGAAACTGATATATATCATTACGGAGAGAAATCTCGATATCCCCTCTATTAGTGAAACTTCATAAAGAAAAGTCAGAATTTTCATGTACACAGATGTGATGCAAGGCGAGGTATAGGAGTTTCTATACACATGTAAGAGATGCCCTTAAATTAAATAAGCTCTCAGCTACAGCTATAGAAAAACGCATCTGTGGATGACATTCATCTTTTCCTCTTTATTGGTACAATGTTCAGACATCCTCATCCTCATTCAAAATATTTTTTGAATATATCAAATGCAAAGTTATCTGGGATGCTGAAAAAGAAGGAAAATAATAAAAACAGCTTATAAACAAACCTTTAAGAGTCAGAAAACACCTCATCAGTATTATATATCAAAACTTCAAACAGACCCGAAATTATTACCCATACAGATGTTATCCCTCATCAGATCACAGACCGCGAACCCTTAACAATCACTATAGATATAAGGAGGCCAAAGGGGTAAGCAGCCATTATAACTTATCGTGGTATCACACACTACGAGCTCCCAATCAATCTGTCAAATTAACAGTGCCAGTCAATCGACCCTCAAAGATATGATCAGCAGATGACGTTAACAAATAAGTAAATATCCCTCACGAGCGGGTTGGAAAATAGTATAGATGCGACCGCCCCTTATAAGATCAAAATTGTTAGACGTCCCTCCGCCCCAGAGGTAAATGATGACATCAAAGAGAGCTATGTACGTGAGAAATAATAATCGACGAACAGATCTGACATTATCCTTATTAATTACAAACTAAAACAGGCTGAATATAAACTAAAAAAAAAAAATCTCTAATCCAATCTTCAAAAAAAAAAGTATATCTATATCTATTTTTTTTAATGAGTTCAGTGAATATAAACACGACAAAGAAACATGGAAACAATTAAAACAATAGCACTAACAGATATTTACTTATACCCCTCCCCCTTCCTCAAATGCTGCATTTTATTGGCATATCGGTTAAACCCTAACGAAGATCATAGAAAAAAATATATAACAATTCCCTTCGCAAGTGTAATAGTCACGCTTACTTCTCTTCACAGTGTCCCTGATATTCTCCCATAACGCATAGTTCTCAAATATAATAACACGATCAAGCCTTTGCCTCCCCCCCCCCCCCCATCAAGCAGTCCTCGATGTAGCCTTAGAGAAGCGCGTCCTCCAGGCTAGAAAGCGCTGGTATACAACATCTAAACGGCTACTTCGCAAATATCATTAGGCTCAATTATGAACACACAGCTGCCTCCACGGCCCCACGAAACACAATTAGGACACGGCTCTCAACAAATGCCTATGCCGCAGGAATGGATGATATTGGTTTCCGAT